TTGCATGTTAGGCCACACACCCCTAATGTAGCCAATCCTAATGAGTTTCTGCTGTTGGGTGTGGCCTATTATGCTAATGAGTTCCTGCTGGGCGTGGTCAACTTGGGAGCCAGCCGGAACTCCGTTCCTGTGCGTTCCTGCCCAAAAATAGTCCTGCTGGTAACCTCTGAGGAAGATATCAACTGCCAGGCAGCAGGTCCAGATGGTTTAATGCTTTGAAAGGTAAGAACCAGCACTGTGAATTGAGTCCAGAAGGGAACAGGCAGCCAGTTAAGTTCTCTCAGTACTGGTTAGATACGTTCCCTGCAGGGCTTACCCGCCAGCCATCTCGCGGTTGCATTTTCAACAGACTGAAGTTGCTAAACAGCTTTCAAGGGCAGCCCCACGTATAGCACACTGCGGTAATCCAACCTAGATATGATCAGAGGAGTGTTCTCCAGATCTTGTTTTTCAAGGAAGGGGTACAGCCAGCCAGCACAACCACTGAAGTCAGTTAAAGGTGCGATATGCCACAGATGATATTTTAGTCTTCATCTGCAGGGAGAGAGCTAACAACACCCCCAAAATGTAAGTGCTATCTGGACGTACAGAACAGTATTGCCACAACCAGGGGTCATTTCGTAGAAAAAGAGGAGCAGGAGCTCATTAGCATAACTCATTAGCATAACTTATTTGCATATGCCACACCCCCTGACATTACCGGAAGCGTGTCAGAAGGCAACACTCACCGCTCAGGCTCCACTGGACTGCTTTGGATTGCTAGCTATTGGGGGGGGGACATGCAGATCTGTCCTCGCAGAGGAGGGAGAGCTTGTATCTGAATAAAACTTGGTCTTAAAGGTGCCACTGGACTGTTTTGGACTGGGGGGGGGCTCTACCTGGCTGCTTCTTGCTCTGACTGAGGGCTGCTGGGAGCAGGGGGTGGGGCTTGTTGAATGTGCCCGCCCCCTGGGATCTTTACTGCCGGAGCTCCGCTCCTGTGCGCTCCTGCAGGAAATGACCCCTGGTCATGCCGGCCACATGACCATGGGGAAATGTCTTTAAACAGCACTGGCTCTTGGGCTTGGAAACGGAGATGAGCACCGCCCCCTAGAGTCGGATTCGATTGGCTTTCGAGCAAGGGAAACCTTTACCTTTACTCCCAGATCCTAGTCCAACACTCTCCACCCTGCGCCACCTGGGCGCGCATAAAGGACAAAACAAAGCTCGAGTCCAGTGGCACATTTAAGACCAACAAAGTTTAATTCTAAAAAAAGTCAAGTAGAACCTTTAACACTAACAAACTTTATAGTAGCATAAGAAGTTATTCTTAAAGGTTACTCTTAAAATATTATTTCTGTTTAGAACTATACTGTTGGAAGAATTTTAACTGTAGCCCTGGACAGTCTAAACTAACTCTGCATAGTGTTACCTGCACCCCCCTCTAGATTCATAATGGTCTGGTGTGTGCCCCTTACCAAGGCGGTAGGATGTAAAAGGAGAGTTAGCTGGAACGCAACACAAGGTTACTTAACAAAAAATAGTTTATTAGCTAAAGACATGCAGCAATATATAACAGAATACTTACTTCACTTCAAAGAGAAAAAAAGACAGTCAATAGATATATATATATAACAAAGATTCCCCATGCACAGAAAGCTTTCTGGACTGACACCAGGGAGACCACGAAAGGCAAAGCATACCCTGTATCTCCCGAGAGTCAGTGCTCAACTGAAGCTTCTGGCCTATTTTTATACCATTTTGGTCCTATACATTTTGATAGAGCCATAGAAATCATAAACTGCATCAATTAATTTTAACTGCCCTGTTGAGTATGGGCCATCAGGAATCAGGAGATGTTTACGCATTCCATGGGCAATGGGGCATCTTGATGCTCCTTTGCAAAACAATGCAAGGTAGCACCTGCATTTCTAAATAACAAACACAAGAATGTTACAGTTCCAGGGTGTTCTTTTGTTTCCTTGACCCCGAGTAGACATTTGGGCACCTGTCTGGTGGCTGGAGATGTGATATGGATTTCTGCATGAAGACAGAGCTTAGTATTGCAAATATTCTGGCTTCCTTGACTTAATGGCAGGTGAAAAAATTCTTTTATTCTTAAATGTTTCCAAATTCTTTAGGTCTAAAATGTTTCCAAATTCTTTAGGTTCATGAACAATGAAAATGCAGATGTTAATTCCTGTGTAAGAAGAGACAAAGGCCTAGCAAAATTCTTTTTGGGAGTCATGTACTGCTAGCTGTTTGGAAAGTTACAGGAATAGAGGGGAGAAAAAGACTATGATTTATTTATGAAATTAATTGTATAAATGGGTTAAAATTTTCTGAACCATTTATTTTTTTTCTCACAACATATACCTATCAATATCCCTACAGAAACACTAAAAGACTGGCAAAAAACACTGAACTCCTTTCTTTGGCAACAAAAACGACCTAGAATTGGCTTTCAAACAATCCGGAGACACACCTCGCAAGGTGGTCTTAAATATCCTGACTTAATATACCACAAGATGGCATTGCTGATCCCCTTAATCAAAATGCTACGTATTGGAGATCAACTAGATTGGGTGAAATCTCCCACCTCGCTTTTCTCTCCATTATCGATACGGGATGTCATACGGATGGACACATGAACGAGACCAATCGCGATTTCCCATAACCCCTTCCTTAAGGCGATCCTGAAAAACTGGGACACAAATAAAAGAACTCTGGTTCCCAATCCAAAACATCCAGATATTCATCCTTCTTACATGAACAATGGTTTCTCCCAGGAATGAGTGAAGAGATTGCTAGCACTTGGAGACAAGTGAACATCTTTCGTATTGTGGATATCTCCTCCCAAATTGGCTCTAGAACACAAACTTGGACGCACTATACCATGGTTCTTTTATCTACAATTGGGCCACATGACCCAATCCATCAACCTTCTTCTTGTCTTGAAAACTCATAAAAATCCATTCGAGAAACTCATTGGAAATGAAGACAACAGCTCTAAAGGTCTTATTTCGGTAGTTTATAGGCTTCTGATTCGCCAAAATAATCTCAGACCACTGCAATATCAAACTCAATGGCAACAAGACTGTGCAACTGAACTCTCTTGAGTCTCAATGGTCCATTATTTCGTTGTCCAGTTTGCTAACTTCCCCTGTCATTTAGACCAAACTACAAGCATACAAGACTGTAACATGCTGGTATCTTACTCCAGAGATTCAGTCCAAGATGTCCTCTTCCCATTGGCCACTGTGCTGGAAACAGTGTGGTGAAATCAGAACCTTTGCTCACTGCTGGTGGCAGTCCACTCACATAGAGAAATTCTGGCGCGATAAACCAAATACATCTAATCACGGGAGATGAAATTCCTCTAGATCCAGCATTGATCTTTCTTGACTTCTGGGGCCCATCCAAGATTCCAAAAATCAAACGTGAATTAATTTCCAATCTTTTAGTAGCTGCCAAAACGTCTATTGCATCTACATGGAAGTCAAACCTGGCTCCCATGCCCCAACCTCGAGGAGAAATGGCTTCTGTTCTTAGAATTTATAGTAAACTATGACCTCCAACCTAGTAATCCTGCCTATCTCAAACTGATTTATCTCTAATCTACTTTGTATTTCACGTTGACTAGTGGTGAACATGCCTGTGATTTTTGATGCTAAGATTATTCTGGTAGCTGATTATACCTGGTATATGACTCATAAGGTAACCATGCCCACAGTTTTAGTATCGTTTCCTACTTGGAACATTTATAGATTGTTAAAACAAGGTTTGTGTATGTTACATTTTGTCCTTTGTTCTGAATTGGTCTGGATTTATGAGAAAACCTCCATGAATACTATGCTCTGTTATGCTTTGGAAAAAATTAATAACATTTAAATCCAAAAAGGTGCTTTTTTAGTATTTGGCAGCAACAGACCAACACGGCTACATCTCTGGATCTATGACGACAGTTGAAGTCTGCTGCGTCTCAGCTTTCGTGTGTGTGATGCAATTTGTGGACAGGCGGGCACCGATGGTTCTGCCCTGTGCGCGCCGGACCCTCCAGCGGCGGCGTGGCAGGGAGAGCTCTCTGCAGCACGACGGCATCTCCACGCAGGGATCAGGAGTTCAGACAGACACGCAGGCCGTTTGGCCGGCCGGAGGTCTGGGTGGGGGAAAGAGGCGCACGCCCCGGGCCACAGACCGCCCGGGTCGCCAGCTTGGGTCGTCCAGCCAGGGGGCTCCACTCACCGCCCACCACGGCTGCACCCGGCAGCACCTGCTGCTTCTTGCAACCGGCAAAAGATGCCTTCGAGCCGGGACCGCGCATGCATGCACATTGAAGGTGGGGGGGGGGGAGGAGAGAACGAGCCTTTCAGCTTCGACGCCGGCCTTCTTGGAAGCGACGCGCCGCCGCTTGCCCTTCCAACCAGTGTTCCCTCTAAGCTGTGGAGTCTTGTGAGCAAAAAATCTGCTTTGTGGACTACTGGCATTAAAGTGGTGAGCGAGCGGTTTGGCTGCTGCATAAATGAGTTTGCTCTGGAGCCCCATCCTTCCCGAGCTAAGACAAGAATGTGTGAGCCGGAGGCTAAAAAGCTGTGAGCTAGCTCACACTCACTCAGCGTCGAGGGAACACTGCTTCCAACGCGCGTGGCTAACCCGGCGCGCAGGGACCTCGCCGTGTCCCTCTTCCGTGCCAGGAAGGAGAAGAAGAGGAAGCAGCGGCAGCGGCAGTAGCAGCAGCAGCAGCAGCAGGGCCCGAGGAGCACTCCTCCCCACGCCGGGCAGCAGCAGCAGCAGCCCGCGCCTCCTCCCCGCTCTGCTGCGCTGCATCGCTTTGCAATCCCCGGACGGCGCCTGCAAACTTTCCTCCCGCGTCTGGAGTTTCCCCGGGCTGGATGGGCTGGATCCGCCTCGGGGGGGAGGGGTCTGGTGCTCCTGGGCGCCAGGGGGCGGAGGGCGGCCGGGTCTCCCCCTGCCCGGGCCCGCCCCACCCGGCTCGCCCCACCCGGCTCGCCCTTAAAGCGCCGCGCCGTCCTGCGGCGCAGCACAGGCTTGGCAGAGGCGCGCGTGTGATCCCGGCCGGGGCAGATGGCTGCGGGCGAGGCGGCGTGCAGGTAGGCGGCTTCGCCCTTCGGCGCTGGCACGGGGCTCCGGGTTTAGGACGGGTCCGGGCGGGGGGGGAGAAGGGGAAGAGTCGGGAAGGACGGCCCCTGCCACCTCCCATAGGGGTGCCAACCTCCAGGTGGGACCTGGGGGTCCCCTGGAATTGCAGCTCATCTCCCGACGGCAGGGATCCGCTCCCCTGGAGAAGACGGATGCTCCGGAGGGTGGGCTCCTCTGTGCCCCATTGAGGTCCCCCTGTTTTCCCTAGGCGCCATCCCCAAAAGGTGGGTCTGGCATCCGGAACCCAACCTGGATTTGGCAAGAAATCGCAAGTAGATAAATAGGTACCGCTTTGGTGGGAAAGTAACGGCGTTCGGTGGGACTCGCTGCATAGTCATGCCGGGCACATGACCACGGAGACGTCTTCGGACAGCGCTGGCTCTTCGGCTTGGAAACGGAGATGAACACCGCATCCCTAGAGTCCGATTAGACTGGCTTTCGAGCAAGGGAAACCTTTGCCTTACCTTTACTACCCCCCACCCATCCCCTGTCGATGGCCGGGGGGACTTTGCTCCCCTCATCGAGCCACCTGCAAGAAGGGAAGGGAACAGGGCTGGTGCCTCTTCCCTTGGCCACCTTCTCCCAACTCTGAGGCCAAGGCTGGTGCTTTAGGCTCCGCACCAAAGAAAGGAGACCACAGTCGGGATTCCCCTTCCTTCGAGGAAGGCCCTTGAAAGGGGATGGGAGAGACCCAAGAACCGGCCAAGTGCTGGAAAAGAGGAAGAGTCCAGGAGCACCTTGAAGACGAACCAAATTTATGGCTGGGTGGGAGCTTTCGTGAGTCACTGCTCACTTCTTCAGATACAGCTAGAATGGAGCTGCGGTGGCCCAAGTGGTTAAGACGCTGAACTGCAGGCTGTGGAAGGTCAGCAGTTCGAGACCCGAGTGTGCCGCATGACGGAGTGAGCTCCCGTCTCTAGTTCCAGCTCCTGACAACCTAGCAGTTCGAAAGCGAGAAATTGCAAGTAGATAAATAGGTACCCCTTCGGTGGGAAGGGAACAGCGTTCCGTGCGCCTCGGTGTTTAGTCATGCCGGCCACATGACCACGGAAACGTCTTCGGACAGCGCTGGCTCTTCGGCTTTGAAACGGAGATGAGCACCGCAACCCTAGAGTCGGATTCGACTGGCTTTCGAGCAAGGGAGACCTTTACCTTTAGGGGCTTTCTTGAGTCACTGCTCACTTCTAGAATGTATCTAGCTGTATCTGAAGAGGATCCAGGTGGGGTAGCCGTGTTGGCCTGAAGCAGCAGAACAAAGTTGTAGAGTCCAGCGGCACCTTAAAGACCAACAAAATTTTAGTTATCATTGGCTGTCCAAAACTTTGTTGGCCCTAAAGGGGCCACTGGACTCAACCTTTGTTCTGTATCTGAAGAAGTGAGCAGTGACTCATGAAGGCTTCTCCCCGGCCACAAATTCGGCTTGTCTTTGAGGTACTCCTGGACTCTTGCTCTTTTCTACTGCTACAGACAAACACGGCGACCCATCTTCCTCTACTTCCAAGTGCAGGAGGGTAGCTGCCAGGGCCGGCTCGCCCGCTAGGCGAACTAGGTACTTGCCTATGGCACGCCGGCCCTCAGGGGCGCCAAACCGTGCCGCCGCAGCCGTAATGGGGCGATCGCCGCCGCCATGGGAAGGGGCCGGGGAGGGGAGCAGGGCCCCGCGGCAGCTGAGCCCCCCCTCCCAGAGAGAGAGAAAAGAAAGGCGGCAGGGATCGAGGGTCTCTGCCCCCCCCGCCCCCCCTTTCGCTCTCTGCACCCGGCCGGGGCGCAGGAGGCGGCGCCGCAGCTCACCTGCCCCCCCCCCTGGGAGGGGGAGGCGGCGGCAGCAAAAAGGTCTCCAGGCCCCACCGGGAGGTTGGCATCTGCGCCTTGCCTAGGGTGCAGAAACACCTCGAGCCGGCCCTGGTAGCTGCGTTGGTCTGCAATAGAAGAGCTAGATTTGTCTTATGCATTTATATCCCTCCCTTCTCTCCCAACGGGGACCCAAAGTGGCTGACCTCCTCCTCCTCTCCTCTGTTTCAGCCTCACCACACCCCTGCGAGGTAGGTTAGGCTGAGAGTACATTACCAGCCCAGGGTCACCCAAGCAAGCTTCCATGGCAGAGTGGGGATTTCGAACCTGGGCTGCTTGCCCCAGATCCTAGTCTGACACTTTAACCACTACACCACGCTGGGTCTCAAAAGAGTCCCGTAGCACCTTAGAGACCAACAGAATTTCCTGGGTAGAAGCTTTCAAGAGTCAGCGCTCCCTTCGTCAGACGCAAGCGGGAGTGGAGACCCCTGAGCCCTGATATCCCAGTCAGGAGGTGGAATCTCCGTTCCTACTTGTATGTGGGAAAGGGAACTCAGGGTCTGAGATCTGGCTCTACTACTGCTGGAGAGTCTTGGACTTTGCAAAAGTGAGTCAGTGCTCAGCACGACAGAGCAGGATCCGCCCAAGATACTCTTTGCTGCGCCACAAGACCCAGGCGGCGTGCCCTCAACGCCCTTGCAATGTTACCCGGCATCCTGGGACACGTCATCTTGGTGAAAGATAAAAACTCGTAACAAATACTTCTGATTTTCTCTACGACAAATACAAGTACAACTATAAACTTAACACTTACTCTGTAGTTACACTTAAAGGTAAAGGTTCCCTTGCTCGAAAGCCAGTCGAATCCGACTCTAGGGTTGCGGTGCTCATCTCCGTTTCAAAGCCGAAGAGCCAGCGCTGTCCGAAGACGTTTCCGTGATCATGTGGCCGGCATGACTAAACACCAAGGTGCACGGAACGCTGTTCCCTTCCCACCGAAGTGGTCCCTATTTATCTACTTGCAATTTCTTGCTTTCGAACTGCTAGGTTGGCAGGAGCTGGAACTAGAGACAGGAGCTCACCCTGTCTTGCGGCACCCGGGTCTTGAACCGCTGAACTACTGACCTTCCACAGCCTGCAGTTCAGCGTCTTAACCACTTGAGCCACTGCTTACTTAACACTTAACTCTTTTTTCTGTTAACTAATTTCCCCACCTTAATCATCAAATCCGCAAATAATCATTTCGTTTTTTCCATTTCATGCAAAAGGTCTGTAAGGGGTTTCCATTTAACAGTAGATGTGGATCATGTCTTCTCTCTGATCACAGAAGTACGTTTAGCCATTTCTGCAAGTTCCATCATCTTCACCAACCATTCCTCTGTGGTGGCGAATGTCAAACGTTTCCATTTTTGTGCATATGATAATCTTGCTGCCGTTGTCATATATAGAAATAAAGTTCCATGGCTTTTTTTCTAGCTATTAGTCCCTAAAGAAAAATCTTTGGATTCAATTGAATATTAGTCTTTAGAATCTTCTGGATGAGTGAATGTCTTTGTATCCAAAAATGCTGGCTTTGTTACACGTCCACGGGGGCACTTCATCTTGGACCGCCTGCTGGCGCCCAAACTTTCCACTGCTCAAAGAAACTATCTGGCTTGCTTCATCATTGACTTCATTTCTATTCTCACTCCACCCAGTGGGACATGATGTGGCTGACCTCATTCTCCTGTCTGGTGTCGTGGTTGAGTGCGCGGACTCTAATCTGGGAGAACGGGGTTTGATTCCCCACTCCTCCACTTGCAGCCGCTGGATGACCTTGGGCAAGCCGTAGTTCTAATAAGAGCTGTTCTCTCAAGGACAGTTCTGGATAGAGCTCTCTCAGCCCCACAGGGTGGCTGTTGTGGGGAGGGGAAGGGAAAGGAGTTTGTAAGCCGCTCTGAGATGCCGAGTGAAGGGCGGGATATAAATCCAATCTTTTCTTTTCCCTCCCTCCCTCCCTGCCTTCCTTCCTTCTCCTGCGAAGGAGGTTAGGCTGCGAATGTGTGACTGGCCCAGAGTCATCTGGCAAACTTCCACGGAGCAGGGATTGGCACCTGGCTCCTCAGAACTTGGAAGCTAAGCAGGGTCAGCCAGGGGTTACTCCTTGGGTGGGAGACCATGAAGGAAGAGGAGTTGCCATGTGGAGGAAGACAATGCCTTTGCCACCTCAGATAATTTCTTGCACTGAACACCCCATGAATGGCGTTGCCGTGAGTCGGTTGCAACTCAGCGACAAGTTCTTCTTGCAAGCCCAAGTCCAGCACTGTACCCCAGGTGTCCCCAACAGGGCGCCTACTGAGTGTTTTTAGAAAGTGGGCAGGGTCAGGTGGTTCTTCTGCCCAGCAAGGGCTCCTGACTGACCAATCAAGAATCTGGGCAGGTTTTGTAAAAGGTTGCTTTGGCAGCTGCTGCCACCTCAGCACAAAGATCACCACTCTGTGACTGAAGCTGAGCTGTCGCAGCTGCGTCGTAGCTGGCTCCGCCTCCTGCAGCTGCCATTTTGTGGCTGCGTCCATCATGCTATGTCAGAACCCCCAAAAGTACCTGCAGGCTCGAAAAGGTTGGGGTACCCCTTCTTTTGCAGTGGCAAAGGAAGAAGAAGAAGAGATTGGATTTATACCCCGCCCTTCACGACCCAAGGGAGTATCAGAGCGGCTTACAAACTCCTTCCCCTCCCCACAACAGACACCCTGTGAGGTGGGTGGGGCTGAGAGAGCTCTGACAGAAACTGCTCTTTTTCGAGAACAGCTCTAATAGAACTATGGCTTGCCTAAGGTCATCCAGCAGCCACGAGGGGAGGAGTAAGGAATCAAACCCGGTTCTCCCAGATTAGAGTCCGTGCACTTAGCCACTACACCAAACTGACATTTGTCAAGAGTGTAGTTGGGAGGGGGTAGCACAACTGTACGAACCTCAGCTCCTTTCCAGGCCCAGCAAGAGGAGAGCGCCGCGGTCACGCCCCCAAACACTGCACGTTCAAGCTCTGCAGGAATGAGCGTATGTCAATTTCCTTGGCTGTCCACAACCAACAAATTCTGACTCATCGCCCATTGATGTCACAATGCCAGAGAAAGCCAAACAAACAGGGCAGGGGAAAGTAGGAAGTATTAACACTGGAATCTTTTTCCCACCAAAGAAATACTTAGCCATTTCCTCCTTTCCCTTCCATTCAGTATGACCTGCAGAACAAAAACATAACCTCACGACAAGAGAAGCGTGAAGCTGGGAGGGGGCCGCAAATTCAGTGTTCCCTCTAAACTGAGTTCGTGTGAGCTAGCTCACAGTTTTTTAGCCTCGGGCTCATACATTTTTGTCTCAGCTCAGGAAGGAGGGCTCCAGAGCCAACTCATTTATACAGTAGCCGAATCGCTCGCTCGCAGCTTTAAGGGTGGTAGCACACAAAGGAGGATTTTTGCTCGCAAGACTCCACAGCTTAGAGGGAGCACTGACTGCGATCAATAAGAAACCAGGGCAAGCGAGAAGGCGCTTTGGCTCCCCACTGGGAACAAAAATGGTGTAGAAATGAATTAAATAAATCGCAGACCGATTGTCTGGGTGGGAGATGCTGGCTACAATAGTTTCCGAGGGTCGCCGTCTTGGTCTGCAGCAGAACGCTTAGATATATGTTTGAATAACAAAATGACCCTGGCTGTAGCGAACTTGTTGTGTCTTGAATAGCTTTGTGTTGGAAAATTCTCGGCAATCTGTGCAACAGCTTTCCTGCCGCTGTAGATTTCCCGGGCTGTGTGGCCGTGGTCTTGGCACTGTAGGACCTGACGTTTCCCCAGCAGCTGTGACTGGCATCCTCAGAGGTATAACACAGAAAGATGGAGTACTCTCTGTGTCAAGGTAGTACTCCATCTTTCTGTGTTATACCTCTGAGGATGCCAGTCACAGCTGCTGGCGAAACGTCAGGTCCTACAATGCCAAGACCACGGCCATACAACCTGCAAAATCGTCAGCAGCTAATGAACTCTGGCCATGAAACCCTATGACAGCATAACTTTCCTGCCATTTCTGTTCAAGAAAACATTGCACGTAGGGTCAGGAAACCACAAGCAAATTGTGGCGTCTAGTCACACTCCTGCCCTGAGAAAACCCTGACTAAATTCGGCAGCTTGTTCAAGTCCTGCCGTCTTCCTATCGATCTGATACAGCTTTCCCTCTGATTGGGTCTGCTGGAAGTCTGTGGAATAACTAGAGGGTGAAATAAACAGAGAGGATCGGGCGGTCCGAACTTTCTGCCCGAATCCGATTTTGTTTAAGCGCTTCTGGTTCATTTAACTCAGGACACTGCGTATCGCAAGCGCATTTGAAAAGTCCAATCTAGTCCAGTATTCTGTTCACACAGTGACCAGCCCACTGGACTCCAGAATCCAAAAATAGCCCCAAAAGGGATAGTGCACAAGTATACAGACTTGACATTTTCTTTTAACGTGGAAGCTTTTAAGACTTAGCTGCCGCAGTTGGACTGGTTCAGCCTCAGAATGTTATTGGAGTATAGACCACCCCTAGTTTTCAGGATAACTTTCCTCTGACTGACTGACATTCCTGGTACACAGGGGTCATTTCATAGAAAAACAGGTGCAGGAGCTCATTAGCATAACTCATTAACACACCTCATTTGCATATGCCACACCCCCTGACATCGCCGTAAGAGTGTGAGAAGGCAACACCCACCGCTCAGGCTCCACTGGACTGTTCTGGATTGCTAGCTATTGGAGGGGGGAATGTGCAGATCTGTCCTCACAGAGAAGGGAGAGCTTGTACCTGAATAAAACTTGGTCTTAAAGGTGCCACTGGACTGTTTTGGGCCGGGGGGGGGGGCTCTGCAACTTACCTGGCTGCTTCTTGATCTGACCGAGGGCTGCTGGGAGCAGGGGGTGGGGCTTGTTGCATGTGCCCGCCCCCTGGGCTCTTTACTGCCGGAGCTCCGCTCCTGTGCGCTCCTGCAGGAAATGACCCCTGCTGGTACATCTCTCCTGGAGACACTCTGCACTCAACAGATCAAAATGTACTGCTGATCCCTGGGCCGAAAGATACCCATCTAGCCTCAACCAGAGCTAGAGCTTTTTTGGCTCTGGCACCAGCCTGGTGGAACGCTCTCCCAAGCGAGATTTGGGCCCTGCGGGACTTAAACCAAATTCCGCAGGGCCTGTAAAATGGAGCTGTTCCACCAGGCCTACGGCGGAGGCAGCAGTAGCCATCTAGTCAGGCCTCCCCCTGCGTTTCCTCTCCCTAGCTCGTTCGATTTGTTTTTATAGTATCTTAATATCCACTGTTGTATCTGAAACAAAACCATTTTGGGCTTTCTTAAGAACATAAGAGAAGCCAGCGTTGGATCAGGCCAACGGCCATCCAGTCCAACACTCTGTCACACAGTGGCCAGAAATACCAGGTGCCATCAGGAGGTCCAGCAGTGGACTGTCTTCTTATTGTTTTGGCTTCTTATTCTTATTTGTCTTATTGTTTTGGCTTGTATCTGAGACTGTTTTAATTGTTAATCTATATTTATTGGTTTTGAACTGTTTTATTGTTGTTGCTGCTACCCGCCCTGAGCCTGCTCGCAGGGGAGAGAGGGCTAAAAATCAACTAAACTAAAACTAAACTTTTAGTTGGAGAGGACTGATGATGTGGACAAGGGATGGCCTACTACATCTTGTTCCTTGCCCCTCATGGCTAACCATATTGAGCCAGGGCTCTAGGCAATAAACAACTCTGCAGCAATGCTCCCTCTAAGCTGTGGGGTCTTGTGAGCAAAAATTCTGCTTTGTGAGCCACTGGCATTAAAGTTGTGAGCGAAGGACCAGGTTCGTAGGTTGGGGGGTTGCTACTGGAGCCTGGATTCCAGTTGGCAGCTGAGGTCTTCTCCATGGCATGGAGTACCTTTTATCAGCTCTAGCCGGTTCACCAGCTACAGCCATTCCTCAAAAAGCGAGAGCCGGCCACGGTGACCCATGCTTTGATCACATCCAGGTCAGATTACTGTAAACGTGCTCTACATGAAGCTGCCTTTGAAAACTGGTGGGAACTTCAGTAGGTCCCCAAATGCAGTGGGCAGCCTATTGCCAGGAGTTGGGATATAGTGACTGTATCACACCTGTGCTGAAAGATCTGCCGTTGGTCACCCATCCGTTTCCAGGCACGATGCAAAGCGCCAGTCCTTACCTTTAAGGCCCTTGAATGACTCGTGGCCAAGATACAAGAAAGACCGTCTTCTCCTTATTCTGTCCAGCCCGCTAGTTAAGGTCTGCCTCTCAAGCCGTGCTGCCTGTGCCCCTACCTCCAGAGGTGAGGCAGGTGGCAACTGGAGACGGGGCATTTTCTGTGGTGTCCCCTCACCTTTGTAACACCTTTCCCCTTGAGGCCCACCTGGTGCCTGCTTTACTTTCTTTTAGGCACCAGGCCAAAAACATCTTTTTGCCCAGGCTTTTAATTAAGGTAAAGGTAAAGGTTCCCTTGCTCAAAAGCCAGTCGAATCCGACTCTAGGGTTGTGGTACTCATCTCCGTTTCCAAGCCAAAAAGTCACCACTGTCTGAAGATGTTTCCGTGGTCATGTGGCCGGCATGACTAAACACCAAGACGCACGGAACGCTGTTCCCTTCCCACCAAAGTGGTACCTATTTATCTACTTGCAATTTCTTGCTTTCGAGCTGCTAGGTTGGCAGGAGCTGGAACTAGAGACGGGAGCTCACTCCGTCGTGCGGCACACTCGGGTCTCGAACTGCTGAACTACCGACCTTCCACAGCCTGCAGTTCAGCGTCTTAACCACTTGAGCCACCGCAGCTCCTAGGCTTTTAATTAAGGGGGGGGGGCTTATCTTTTTCCACTTTAAATGGTCGGCTTCTGTTTCATGGTTAGTGTTTATGCCGCTTCTGTCCAATTGCTTCTTTTTGTGATTTTTATATTGTGTTTTTTTAAGGAGGACCTGGAGAGACGGCATAATAGAACTATTCTAAATATATTAATTAGTGTTGTTGCGTACAGAATCCTCTAAAAGGTGCTGTTTGAGCTAAATGTACTAATTAACCGATTGTCCAGTAGTCAAGCAAAACCCTCTTTCATTGGTGGACAGTCCTAGCGCTGACTGCAAGATTTGTCCTCATAGTGCGTGGGACCTCCTTGCCAGTTCTGCTAGGGGCATCTGGTACGTGGTCACGGAGCAGAGAAGTGTCCTGTAGGGGAGCCAGCTTCCAGGTGGCACCTGGGCATACCCTGGAATTACAGCTCATCTTCCAGGCTACAGAGATCAGTTCCCCCAGGGAGGAAATGGATGCTTTGGAGGGTGGAGTCTGTGGCATCATACCCCACTGAGGTCCCTGTCCTTTCCAGGCTCTGCCCTGAAATCTCAAGGAGTTTCCTGACTTGGATCTAGCAGCCCCATCCCCCACCTGGCAACCCTAGTGCCCTGTTATTGTTGTTTAGTCGCACAGTCGGGTCCGACTCTTCGCGACCCCATGGACCACATCACGCCAGGCCCTCCTGTCCTCCAGAGTTTGCTTAGCTTCATGTTCATTGCATCGATAACACTGTCTAACCATCTCATCCTTTGCCGTCCCCATCTTCTTTGACCTTCAGTCTTTCCCAGCATCAGGGTCTTCTCCTCCAGTGAGTGCTCCCTTCTCATTGGGTGGCCAAAGTATTTGAGCTTCAGCTTCAGCATCTGGCCTTCCAGGGAACAGTCAGGGTTGATTTCTTTTAGGATTGACTGATTCGATCTCCTTGCAGTCCAAGGGACTCTCAAGAGTCTTCTCCAGCACCATAATTCGAAAGCATCTATCCTTTGGCGCTCAGCCTTCCTTAGGGTACAACTCTCGCAGCCGTACATTAGTACTGGGAATACCATTGCTTTGACCATATGGACTTTTGTTGGCAGGGTGATGTCTCTGCTTTTTATTATGCTGTCTAGGTTTGCCTTTTGTTGGCAGTGATGTCTCTGCTTTTTATTATGCCATCGCTTTCCTCCCAAGGAGCTTGGGAGTGCCCTACCTGGGCCCAATACATTCTGTCCCCTTTTGCTAACCCGTTCCTTTTATTTCTTGATATAGAGCAAAGGAAAATGGTGTCCCAGTCCGCATGTTTCCAGTGTGTTTCGAAGACGATGGGACGCTCTCTTTCCAAGGTACCTCTTGGCTAACTGATTTGGACGAGCGTCGGGTTTTGTGAGTGATGTCTCTGGGCTTCCAGGGAACAGTCAGGGTTGATTTCTTTGAGGATTGACTGATTCGATCTCCGTGCACACAGACATTTTGGCTGAATTCAGTCCCTGCCACACCCTCGGCCCAGATAATTCCCTCCACACAAGAGGGCTGGAACAATATGTGGACACTCAGCCCAGCTGGTCCCTAGACATTTGAGGTTGGTGCTCAGGAATGTGAATATTTTATGTAGCCCTAAGCAAATCTAGCGCGTAAAAATCCAGTGGAGCTGCCCCTAAAGTTAAGCCTGGGGCCCTGTTCATTTGAAAAGTGTTTTCCAAGCTCTCTCCTGGCTGCTTCAAGCCAAGGTTGATGCCTAAAATTAAAGAGATCACCTGGCTTAAGCGCATACAACTCTCTCTTGGATTATGGCCAACACCCCCAGAGAGAGCACAAAGGGGTGGGATAATTTTTGGAACTGGTGTATGGTGCCTGCTGACACTCACAGAAAACTGGAGCACAACACAGGTGAGTAACTTTGTCAAACAAAACAAGGTTGCTGGCCGCAGTACAAGAACCATTAGGGAATTGCTCTCCACTCCCTATCGACTCGCCTCGGTTTCCTGTGTTTCTGTGCCTGCACTTTGAAAAACAGTCCCACTGCATGGCAGACTCACTTTTTTCAATATTATTTTATTATTTTTTTTTTAAAAAAAATATAGATATAAGAACATCAGAGAAGCCAATGTTGGATCAGGCCAGTGGCCCATCCAGTCCAACACTCTGTCGTAAGAACATAAGAGATGCGAATGTTGGATCAGGCCAGTGGCCCATCCAGTCCAACATTCTGGGTCACACAGTGGCCAAAAATACCAGGCGCCATCAGGAGGTCCAGCAGTGGGGCCAGGGCACCAGAAGCCCTCCCACTCTTGCCCCCCCCCCCCCAGCACCAAGAATACAGAGCATCACTTGCCCCAGACTGAGAGTCCCTATCTATACCTTGTGGCTAATAGCCACTGATGGACCTCTGCTCCAGATGTTTATCCAATTCCCTCTTAAAGTCATCCATGCTTGTAGCCGCCACCACCTCCTCCTGTGGCAGTGAATTCCATGTGTTCATCCCTCTTTGGGTGGAGAAGGACTTCCTTTTATCTGCTCTAACCCGACTGCTCAGCAATTTCACTGGGTGCCCACGACTTCTTGTATTGTGAGAAAGGGAGAAAAGTACTTCTTTCTCGACCTCCTCTATCCCATGCATAATCTTGTAAACCTCGATCATGTCACCCCTCAGCCGTCGTTTCTCCAAGCTAAAGAGCCCCAAGAGCTTTAACCTTTCTTCACAGGGAAAGTGTTCCAACCCTTTTATCATTCTAGTTGCCCTTTTCTGCCCTTTCTCCTTATATGTTCTAGTAGACCAGGGCTACCCAATGTGTTGCCCACAGGCAGCCCAACAGTGCCCTCCAACAACGTTTTGTGACTCCCGCCAAGTGTTTTTAGAAAGTGCCAGGTGGGGCCTTTGCACAGGAAGGCTTCTTCTGATTGGCCACTGGAGATGTGATTGACTGTGCACATTTTTTAAAATGCTGCTTTGGCGGCACCAGCCAGCACAGCACAAGGATCTCCATTTTGTGACGGGTAGTCAGCTACGGCAGCCATTTTGTGGCTGGCTGTGCCTCCTGCAGTGGCTCTTTCGTGACAGCCATTATGTGGCCGCACCACACACCCCTGTAGTATACTCACCCCCCATGTCCCATATTTTGTCCTGACTTCAATCTGTGGGTGAAGAATTTCAGATTGCAGCGCTGAAACTTTAGCCACCTGCTGCCGGTCAAAGTAGAATCTTCTGGGCTCGGTGGACAAACAGTCCGGCTCAATTCAGTGGCTGGAGGAAGGGAGAGACTGTCTCAGAGCTGTGCAGAATGAAGGGTGTGACTCGCGGGAACTACCATATCGTGCCCCTTTTGAGCAACCACTTACCCCCCACCCCCACCCCGGGCTTTTCTTGTAGAAAAAGCCCAGCGGGAACTCATTAGCATAATAGGCCACACCCCTGACAGCGTGGCTCATTAGCATATTAGGCCACACCCTGTGCCTTCCCTTGGCTTGCCCCGGCAAACCAGCCCTCGGACAGGCTGGGGAAGGCACGGGGAGGCATTTAAATGCCTCCTCGACCCTTCCAGGGGGGGCCCTGGCCCGCCCGCATCAGAGTCGCTGGGGGGGAAGTTTGCTCTCCGGGTCTTCCCTCTGTAGCCAGGCACACAGAGGTTTTGCCTGTACTGTGCGTTCCTGCCCCAAAATAGCCTAGCCCCCCCCCCCCTTCGGAAACGGTTCTCTTCTTATTCAACGATAACGATCTGAAAATTACATTGGGTGTGGCTAAATAAGTATCAGTCCTTTTAACTCTTGATTCCAGATAAAATATCTAGGAATTTTCTGCTCAAGATCAGTGCTCCCCTCTAAGCTGTGGAGTCTTGTGAGCAAAAATCCTACTTTGTGAGCTGCTGGCATTTATTTATTTTATTTATTTATTATGAGATTTCTATCCCGCCCTACCCAGTGGCTCAGGGCGGCTAACAATAACATACAAATACTAAAACAATAAAATAATTTTAAATACAATAAAAACTGGTGCTTCAGTCTATACAATCTATACCATTTACAAAATGCTCGGCGATTTTGTGAGCGAGTGATTTGGCCGCTGCATAAATTAGTTTGCTCTGGAGCCGTCCCTTCCTGAGCTGAGGCAAAAAATGTGTGAGCCCGAGGCTAAAGAACTGTGAGCTAGTCCACACTAACTCAGCTTAGAGGGAACACTGCTCAATAAGATTATGTATCTGTGAGCTTCAAGGGTTAAAAGGAAAGGAGAGGATGAAGAAGTCCTGCCTTCTGGCCAAAAGCAGCCCCGGCCAGTTGGCTTCTTGTTTCAGGGACACGAGTTGTTTGGTTGTTTGTTTGCTTTTAAAAAGCTAATGTCCGCTAATTCAGGAAGCCTCCAGTTTCTGTCAGCAGCACAATCCCCGCGTCACAAGCCAGTTTGGTGCAGTGGTTAAGTGCCTGGACTCTGGGAGAACCGGGTTTGATTCCCCACTCTTCCACTCGCAGCTGCTGGATGACCTTGGGCATGCCACAGTTCTGATAAGAGCTGTTCTTGAAAAACAGCAGTTTCTGTCAGAGCTCTCTCGGCCCCACATACCTCACAGGGTGTCTGTTGTGGGGAGGGGAAGGGAAAGGAGTTTGTAAGCCACTTTAAGACTCCTTTGGGTAGTAGTGAAGGGCGGGGTATACATCCAATCTCTTCTTCTTTGCTTATCCCTAAACGAATGGGCGACAGGGTGGGCCGAAGGAAAGTTGATCAGAGGAAAAGGGAAATAGGAATTGGCCTGGCAGCATTCTAGCAGTCTGAAGATCACCGGCCTCCGTCCTTGTGGTTTCCATTCCCCTCTCACCTGTCCGGCCCCGTAGCTAGGAAGTTTGCTGGGGTGGGATTTTGGACTTGAGAGGGGGCGTCGTGCCCAACTCGCTGGCTGGCACAGATGCAGTGAGGCACCTGGGCGGGCTGTTCACCGTATCTGTGCCAGGCAGTGAGCCTCGGAGAGCCAACTCACTTTGGCTCTCCACAAACCTCAGAGAACTGACAGCCCGACTCGCTGGCTGGTGAAGACTGGGGGTGGGGGGAGGAGGAAAGCTTGTGCCGCGGTGGGGCTCCGCCCGAATGACTCAGCCCCTAAAGCCCCACCGCTGGCTATGACCCTGCACCTGTCCCTTCCTGTTACCGCCTGTAATGCATTCATTTCTATTCTGCGTCAATATTGATTGTTTATTTTAATATTGTAAAGTTAATTTTTTAACTATTTATTATGATGTAACCAGTGGTCCCTCTAAGCTGTGGAGTCTTGTGAGCCAAAATCCGACTTTGTGAGCTGCTGGCATTGAAGTTGTGAGCGAGCGATTTGGCTCCTGCGTAAATTAAGTTTGCTCTGGAGCCCTCCTTCCTGAGCGAAGACAAAAATGTGTGAGCCGGAGGCTAAGAAACTGTGAGCTGGCTCGCACTAACTCAGCTTAGAGGGAACACTGGATGTAACCTGCCCCGAGCCCTGCTGTGCAGGGAAAGGCGGGGCAGAAATCGAAAGTATAGATAAATAAAACTAATAAATAACATCTTTCTCTTTTCTCTTCCCCGTTGTCCATCACTTGGATGAAACAAAGATGACGACGGTGAGCGCAGTAATCCAATTTTGTCCCTTCAAAAAGTTTTAAATACGTTACCCTGTGTCTTTTCCCACTGATGCGTCTGTCTCTGTGTTCAGCAAATAAGGTCACACAAGTGCAACACATGTGATGATGTCATAGTGCTCCTCACAACCATCACGATGTCACCAAATGTATATATCTAGTCACAGGGGGGCAAGAGAGAGAGACTGATTTACCCGTCCTGGTCACTGAGCGTGAATGTGGCAAATAAAAATCAGATGAAGGGATGAGCCAGTGCTCGGCTGTTGTGGCCCTTTCTTATTTCTTATTTTGATTTATATCCCGTCCTCCCTGCAAGCGGGCTCAGGGCGGGTCACGACAATAAATTTCATTACAGTCTGGTGATTCAATAAACAATGGCCACTTATATCACAGAATCATAGAATGTTATGTTGGAAGGGACCTTGCCGGTCATCTGGTCCAACCCCCCGCACTCCGCAGGTGCATCGCCGAAAGATAGCCCTACAACATACTCGAAAAATGGTCGTCCAGCCTCTGCTGGAAAACGTCCAGTGAAGGAGCATCCACCACCTCCCAAGGCAGTCTGTTCCACTGCTCAACCACTCTTGCAGTCAGGAAGTTTCTCCTGATTTTTAGCCGATATCAACTCCCTTGTAATTTCCACCCATTCAATCTAGTCTTGCAATCCGGAGCAAGAGAGAATAGATCCACTCCATCTTCTACATGACAGCCCTTCAAACATTTGAAGACTGCAATCATGTCCCCTCGAAGCCTTCTCTTTCCCAGGCTAAACAGACCCAACTCTTTCAGCCTTTTCTCATGACTGGGGTCAGGAAGGTTTGGCCCAGGGATCCTGAAGGGTTTTTTTTGCATTCCTCTGGGCATAGAGCAAGGGTCACTGGAGGAGCGGAGGGAGGTACTTACAAATTTCTTGCATTGTTCAGGGGTTGAACTAGATGACCCTTGGGGTTCCCTTCCAGCTCTATGTTGTTGAAGAGTGGACTGGCATGAGAAAGAAAGTTGATTTTTCAACTCATAGTGAGACGCAAGGGCTAGAAAATTACCATGCTTCAAAGTAGCCATTTCTGAATGTGTGTGTGCGTACTTCGGGGGTGGGATGGGGGTAAGCACAGTCCCCTCTGGAAAAACAGATTGAGAGCCATATCGATCCTCTTTCTAATGCACTGCTTCATATACCTCTTTCAAAGACCTGGAACCTGACAGCTGGAGACAATCTAGAAAGCACTCAAAGCTGCAGATCTTCCGAAACGTTGAGAATTATGTCCTCATAGTGAAGCCAGAAAGTCCGGAAAATCAGATGGCAGCATTTGAGGATATCCCCACGCCGGACAGGAATGACGGTACAGTAATTGTTCACTCCTCCCTGAAGTCCTGGTTTTACATGGAGTCACCCATGAATTCTGTCTGTGGCTCAGTGGCAGAGCATCTGCTTGGGCATGCAGAAGGTCCCAGGTTCAATCCCCGGGATCTCCAATTGAAAAGATAGGCAGTGGGTGATATGAAAGACCTCTTCCTGAGACCCTGCAGAGCAGCTGCCAGTCTGAGTAGACAATACTGACCTTGATGGACCAAGGGTTTGATTCGGTATAAGGCAGCTTCCTCTGTGTGTGTGTATGTGTGTGTGTCTCTATCCCTCACCCCTGGTTCTTCAAGTTGCACGCATTTCGGAAAAATGTTTGGAAGAAGGTTAACATTGACCTGTTACTAAGAGACCGGGCAAGAGGAAACTGTTAATTGGCAAAGGGTGTACATCTAGGTTCTGTTTTAGGAGAAACGTTATAAGTGTAACGGCAGATCAGTAATTAAATAAGCTTCCAAGGGAACTGCAAAATACTTCCTTGTCAGTTTTCAGAACGCATTCTGTTTGGGAAGAGGGAACCGAACTAGACATTCCATAGAGTCTTCTACAACGCTAGGAACATCTCTGTTTAACAAACTAACAGTTCACACATGAGAAGCAAGCTTTTCAGAGGTGCTGAACTTTTCTGCAGTTGCAGGGGAACGGGATTCCTCCCACCACACCATTCTCAGCTGAAATACAACCGTTCCCCTGCCCGATAAATCAGCAAATGCTTGTATATCAGACTGAGGAAGAACCATATGTAAAACTCGGAAGCAATCAGGCAGTTAATGGTCATCCCCAGTTCAAGCTGAACTGTCTTCTCTCAAGCCAGGAACCCCTGAATTCATGCCCTGCCTCCACACCACATTCCTTTAGCCTAACATAATCCATAATTTAATCCCAAAGGCCATATAGACCTCCAGTCTGCAACTAGCCAAGTGTCTTTCAGTCCCCAACACAAATCAGGATGCCTTTCTGAATCGCTTCGTATGCACTGAAGATATCTATTGGTACAAGGCCCAAACACGAATATCTGTCTAGGATTCTCAACTTCCAGGTGGTACCTGTAGATCTCCCAGAATTAGAGCCGACCCTCCAGAATACAGAGATCAGCTACCCTGGAGAAAGCGGCTGCCTTGGAGGGTGGACTCTGTGACATTGTACCCTGCTGTGGTCCCTCTCCTCCCAAGCGGAAGCATGCTGGGCCCATAACCTGTTGGATTCTCTGGACTCGGTACTGCCAGGGAACCACAGAAAAACAGCAGAGTGCTCAAAGACCTAAGTGCAGAGAAGCTTGGGGCCTGGTGTGGCAAGAGACTTACAAAGTTACATGGAGTCAGCAGTCAGTTCTAAAACTAGTAAGAGACTTTTATTCAAGGAAATACAGTTTGGAGAGTGCAGCTAAGAGATAGATATAGATTACCTATTCTAACTAGCTAGATGGTGTTGGATGCTGGACGCACGTCCAGCCTCCATGGTGCAAGATGGAGATCAAGCACCTTCTTCGTGCGTGCGAGAGAGAAGTGTGAGAGAGAGTGGGGGAGCGGAAGCAGAGGAAATTGCCCCTAAGAGTAGCATTCGATTTCAAAGGAAAGGATCAGACAGCAGGAAGGAAAGGATGCTCTGTGTGTCCTGACCTCTCTATCTGTCTAAACTCTTTGCTTCTTCTTCTCAAGTCTGAGACAGGAGACAGCGCCAAGTCCTTCACTTCTAACAGGTGCCACCCCCAAATCTCCAGGAATTTCTCAGGCCAAAGTTGGCAACCCTGCTTATGACAGTGACTATCTTTATATCAAAGGGCAGGTTGAGAGTAACGGGTTGGAGTTGGGAGTCGCCCTGAGCCTGCTTCGGTGGGAAGGGCTGGGTATAAATTGAATAAATAAATAAGTAGGCAGTACACCAGTTTGGTGTACTGCTCAGGGGTCATTTCATAGAAAAAGAGGTGCAGGAGCTCATTAGCATAACTTATTTGCATACGTCACACCCCCTGACATCACCGGAAGTGTGTCAGAAGGCAACACCCACCGCTCAGGCTCCACTGGACTGTTTTGGATTGCTAGCTATTGGAGGGGGGGAGAAACATGCAGATCTGCCCTCGCAGAGGAGGGAGAGCTTGTACCTGAATAAAACTTGGTCTTAAAGGTGCCACTGGACTGTTTTAGACCGGGGGGTGCAGGGGACAGGGGGCTCTGCAACTTCCCTGGCTCCTTCTTGCTCTGACTGAGGGCTGCTGGGAGCAGGGGGCGGGGCTTGTTGCATGTTCCTGCCCCCTGGGCTCTTTACTGCCGGAGCTCTGCTCCTGTGCGCTCCTGCAGGAAATGACCCCTAGTAGTAAAGTGCTCGGACTCTAATCTGGGAGAACCGGGTTTGATTCCCCACTCCTCCGCTTGCACCTGGCTGGATGACCTTGGGCAAGCCGTAGTTCTGGCACAGCTTTCCTTGAAAAAGAGCAGTTTCTGTCAGAGCTCTCTCAGCCCCACCTACCTCCCAGGGTGTCTGTTGCGGGGAGGGGAAGGGAAGGGAGTTTGTAAGCCGCTCTGAGACTCCTTTGGGTAGTGAAGGGCGGGGTATGAATCCAATCTCTTCTTCTTCTTCACCGAGAAAGATGAGGCACGGTCAGACCCAGGCTCTGTGCTCTGTCAGTTACCGCTAGAGGCTTTTTAAACCCACACCTGGCTGCTTGTCCTTCATCCCTAGAGTCCGGAATCAGGTTCACCATCCACGGTTATGACGACACAGTGCCCAGAGCGCGGACCGTGGCCCTGACCACGAGCAAGGGCAACAAGACCTACTGCCTGTGCGCCGAGAAACAAGCAAACGGAGAATTGCGGGTGGCGTTTCAGGTAAGCGGTCGCTCCTCTGGCATCCTCCGTGATATTTCGAGGGCCCCAATGAAACCCTCGACAACGCATGGAAGTGTTATCTTTGTAAGGCTTGTAAACTTGACGGAGCGCCTGCTTTTAATCCTAGGGACAAAGCTGTTCCATATGAATTCCCCACCACCCATCTGCTCAGAACTTCAGCTGTTTCGGAGAAGCCCGATGCAGTGTTTAAATAGCTGAAATAGACTGTTCGTGATAGTTTGTTTACCAGTCCTGCTGTGCCCTGCCATGCAGAGCCTGGGCTGGCCAAGACGTTTTTGGCACCGGAGGCAAATAAAAGGCCGTTCCATTTTGCCTCACTGTTGGGCTACCTCTGAGAAGTCAGTCTCCCCCATATAATCACACTGATCTGCCTGCAAATGCTTGGTTATTACCCATCAACACAAGAACCACCAGGGAGATGCATTTATAATGCAATTAATACTATAGTGGGAAATTACTAAATACAATACAAAATATCCACAAAGTGTAATTCAACAATAAAGCGCATAAGGTTCATAAATTCATAGAAAATCACATTCCCCTTAGTAATTCACACATAAGAGAATCACATATAACGAAGCTTCCCGCTTTGGTCTTCGTTTCGATCCTAGACGTCCTCAGAAGTAAATCCTCTTGCATATAATCTATGTTGTCTCATTCATATTCGTATCATTTTGCATTGAGTGAGTGTTGTCTCTTTTGTTTCCATACAGTTTTCTTTTTGCTTTTCAAGGCTTATGTTCCAAATAGGAAACAAAAATCCACATAGCAGGCTCCAGTCGAGTCTGCGGCGCGCTTCTGAATGCCAGACAACATATATTATGCACTTTATTGTTGAATTACACTTTGTGGATATTTTGTATTGTATTTAGTAATTTCCCACTATAGTATTAATTGCATTATAAATGCATCTCCCTGGTGGTTCTTGTGTTGATGGGTAATAACCAAGCATTTGCAGGCAGATCAGTGTGATTATATGGGGGAGACTGACTTCTCAGAGGTAGCCCAACAGTGAGGCAAAATGGAACGGCCTTTTATTTGCCTCCGGTGCCAAAAACGTCTTGGCCAGCCCAGGCTCTGCATGGCAGGGCACAGCAGGACTGGTAAACAAACTATCACGAACAGTCTATTTCAGCTATTTAAACACTGCATCGGGCTTCTCCGAAACAGCTGAAGTTCTGAGCAGATGGGTGGTGGGGAATTCATATGGAACAGCTTTGTCCCTAGGATTAAAAGCAGGCGCTCCGTCAAGTTTACAAGCCTTACAAAGATAACACTTCCATGCGTTGTCGAGGGTTTCATTGGGGCCCTCGAAATATCACGGAGGATGCCAGAGGAGCGACCGCTTACCTGAAACGCCACCCGCAATTCTCCGTTTGCTTGTTTCTCGGCGCACAGGCAGTAGGTCTTGTTGCCCTTGCTCGTGGTCAGGGCCACGGTCCGCGCTCTGGGCACTGTGTCGTCATAACCGTGGATGGTGAACCTGATTCCGGACTCTAGGGATGAAGGACAAGCAGCCAGGTGTGGGTTTAAAAAGCCTCTAGCGGTAACTGACAGAGCACAGAGCCTGGGTCTGACCGTGCCTCATCTTTCTCGGTGAAGAAGAAGAAGAGATTGGATTCATACCCCGCCCTTCACTACCCAAAGGAGTCTCAGAGCGGCTTACAAACTCCCTTCCCTTCCCCTCCCCGCAACAGACACCCTGGGAGGTAGGTGGGGCTGAGAGAGCTCTGACAGAAACTGCTCTTTTTCAAGGAAAGCTGTGCCAGAACTACGGCTTGCCCAAGGTCATCCAGCCAGGTGCAAGCGGAGGAGTGGGGAATCAAACCCGGTTCTCCCAGATTAGAGTCCGAGCACTTTACTACTAGGGGTCATTTCCTGCAGGAGCGCACAGGAGCAGAGCTCCGGCAGTAAAGAGCCCAGGGGGCAGGAACATGCAACAAGCCCCGCCCCCTGCTCCCAGCAGCCCTCAGTCAGAGCAAGAAGGAGCCAGGGAAGTTGCAGAGCCCCCTGTCCCCTGCAGTACATATACAGGGACTGTATATAGGAACTATTTCTCGAATCTGCTCTTACAGAGAGTAACTTGCAGGGGCATTGGTTTATTTCAAACCTTAAGAAGCCCTCCTATCACCAGGGGAGTACCGATGTCCAGGGATGCCCCTGCAGTCTCTTTGGGCTGCCGTCACAAATGCAGAGGTTGCCAGATTTCTTTTCTTCCTTTTAAGATCGACTGAGCAGGAGTGCATTCTCTCCGTTTCAGGAAAGGAACCTCCCACACAGCATTCCAGGAGAAACCAGTGACATCATCTTCTTCCAAATCCCATTTTCAGAAGGCGATAACAGATTCTTCAAATTTGAGTCCACGCTGGAGCCGGGTTACTTCCTCGCCTTTGAGAGACACGAAGGCAACCACACCAGGAGACTGATCATAAAGAGAGTGCTGGCAAAAGACGAGGTGGACGAAACCATCAAGCTGTGCCCTTCCTCGGATTAGCACTTTTTTAACCCGGAGCCAAGAAATGGTTCGTTGCACTTCCAGCCACAATCAGTTGCGTCTCTCTTCAGCGCATCCATGTGTGTGTTTCTGTGTGTGGGGGAATGCTTCATTAGTATAAATAAATAAATAAATAAATAAATAAGCACTCAAATTTAAATCAGTGCAAGGCTGATAAGGCGTCTCGGTAGTTCGATAAAGATTGGGATTTGTGTTTTTTTAAAAATAGGGTTGAATAAAATGTTGTGAAAGGGACACTGTTTGTGGCAAGGTTATTCCACGATGCAACAGAGAGAGACGGAAGACCAGGAGCCTTGAACCTTTTCAGACGCAGGATCTAACCTTTAGCCACTAATTTTAATTATTGCCTTGTGACACTCCCTGGTTTTTTCCTTTATCTTCTGTTCCTCCCTCCTCCTCCAAGAAATGCAAACAATGGCCTGTTATGCATGCACAGCTTTCTTCTGATTTTCGGTACAGCCCTACTTCGAATCCTATACCTTCACTCTGCACCTTTTCCCCCTCCAATGTTTCTGTTGGGAATTGCGGAGTATATATTCTGCATACCAATGAGAAAACCCGGATAGTGTTGCAGCGCTGAAATTTCCTCTTCTTCTTCTTCTTTTTGTGCGTCATGGTTGCTCTCTCCTTACTGGTCAGTTTCGCACTGGAAGGGGTTTTTACATTTTTAAAATCTCAATAAACAGACATAAAACATGAACTAGTAAAGAAGAAAAGCACAAGAAAACCAAAGAACATGCAAAACTAAGTAATAACTGAACAAGTCTCACCCTCAAGGTGGAATTTGTTCTTTTCATTCCCGGTTCAAAAAAGGCAAACAAGAACTTTTATGTATGAGAATGTGGTCACCTTACATCGATGATATAATTTCTGTTATGAAACAGAAATTATGTATTTAAAAATCTTTCGATAATAGTATGCCTAATGTAACTGGAGAACCAAGTGAACAGATAGGATTTTTGGATTACACATTTTGCCAAAATACATAATGGCTGTGGGCACGCAATAAAATCACTGAGCAGTTGGGTTAGAACAGATAAAAAGAAGTCCTTCTTCACCCAGAGAGTGATTGACACATGGAATCCACTGCCCCAGGAGGTGGCGGCAGCTACAAGCCTGGACAGCTTCAAGAGGGAATTGGATAAACCTATGAAGCAAAGCTCCATCAGTGGCTATTAGTCATAAGATATAGATAGGAGCTCTCAGTCTGGGGCAAGTGATACTCTGTATTCTTGGTGCTTGGGGGGGGCAACAGTGGGAGGAGGGCTTCTAGTGTCCTGGCCCCACCGCTGGACCTCCTGATGGTACCTGGTCTTTTTGGCCACTGTGTGACAGAGTGTTGGACTGGATGGGCCATTGGCCTGATCCAACATCGGCTTCTCTTATGTTCTTATAGGAACTCTCAGTCTGGGGCAAGGGATGCTCTGTATTCTTGGTGCTTGGGGGGGCAACAGGGGGAGGGCTGCTAGTGTCCTGGCCCCACTGCTGGACCTCCTGATGGCACCTGGTCTTTTTGGCCACTGTGTGACAGAGTGTTGGACTGGATGGGCCATTGGCCTGATCCAACATCGGCTTCTCTTATGTTCTTATAGGAACTCTCAGTCTGGGGCAAGTGATGCTCTGTATTCTTGGTGCTGGGGGGGGAGCAACAGTAGGAGGGCTTCTGGTGTCTTGTCCCCACTGCTGGACCTCCTGATGGGACCTGGTATTTCTGGCCACTGTGTGACACAGTGTTGGACTGGGTGGGCCGTTGCCCTGATCCAACATTGGCTCCTCTTATGTTCTTATGTTGTCTTCTGTCTATTACTTTTGAACATATTGGGAGTACGCACCCATGTGTATAGCCTGTGTTCATCTCCGTGTGGGTTTCCTGCGATTTCCTACACACTGCTAATGGTTAAAGGTGTCTCCAGGATGTCAGAATACCAAGAGGCGAAATTCCCTCTATTACCATAGTCCGTTCTGATTGCAAAAATATCACTTCTGAAAAAACGTAAGCAATAGAATGTCTTCTGAGAGGTCTTCATGTCTGAGCGGTACTCAGTTTCCAGTTTTTTCTCTCCCCATCCCTCCTGCACGTGCCTCCTGATGTTCTTGAAGGCCCACAGACTTCCAAGAGTTACATTTTGGGGAGCAGAGCAGGAAAGGGGAAGCAGCAGCGTTCCTTCATACAAGTACAGCTGTGCTCATGGTCCAGAGGTGCCCTTCCCAGTATGTCCGAAAGTGACAGACAGAACTCCACCAAGAGATCTTGTGATTTCTTCCAGTCCTTTAAAGGGCAAAGCAGCCTTCAGGCACGATGGGGAGCAAAATACCCAGGGGAAGATTAAGACTTTCAGAAGGTAAAATACAAACATCTTCTGGTGTTTCACAGCAAGAAGCCCGAGTTTATCACCAGCTGCACACTCAACAGGCAGCCGCCGTCAGCACTGCCAAGCAGTTCCCTCTAAGCTGAGTTAGTGTGAGCCAGCTCAGTTTTTTAGCCTCCATAGGAAGGGATGGCTCCGGAACAGACTAATTAACGCAGTAGCCAGATTGCTCGCTCACAACTTTATTGCCAGTAGCTCACAAAGTGGAATTTTTGCTCACAAGACTCCACAGCTTAGAGGGAACATTGCGTGCCAAGTATACTTGTACAATGTACATATTTCAGACACCTGCGTTGCATGTTTACTACTCTTAGGTATATGCTTGGAAAAATGTAGTAAATGAAGAGGCTCTTCATACGCCTAGAAATTGCCTGCAGCAGCGTATAACCCTGGAACATGGAGCTTGCATTGCACCATGCGTTTGATGTGAATCATTCTGGGTTGTGGAACAAAACGCACAGGACAAAGGGGGAAGTTGTGTCTGAGAGAAAAAGACTAGTCACATTCCAGTTTTATTCATAGGGGATTTGAATCCAGGTTCGTACAGGGAACTGCCTTATACTGATTGGTCTACACCAGGGTCAATATTGTCTACTCAGACTGGCAGCAGCTCTCCAGGGTCTCAGGCGGAGGTCTTTCATTTCACCTACCACCTGGTCCTTTAAACTGGAGATGTTAGGGATTGAACCTGGGACCTTCTGCACGCCAAGCAGATGCTCTTCCATTGAGCCACGGCCTCACCCCACTTCCAAAGCATCGCTGAAGCCTGCCACGATGAATTGTCCATTTGTTGAACAGGTATAGGTTGCCAAAACTGGCCCATGCATACAGAAGCAATCACCATCTACTAAATCGGGGCATTATCCCATTGAACGTAGGCCACTGCTGGCAGATTCTCTGCTGTGCTGGGTAAACGGCTTTCCTAGCTCAGTCTGAAAGAGTTCCTTCGACTGGAGGCAGATCATAAGAGGGAGGGCAGGAAGGGATAATCCAGTGCTTGGCTTTTGTGGCCCTTTCTTACACGTCCAGGGTAATGCCGATCACCACTTTGGGGTCTGGAAGGAATTTTCCTCCAGATTGGCCCAGGGATTCTGGAGATTTTTGTGGGGTTTTTTTTTTGTTTTTGTTTTGCCTTTCTCTGGGCATAGAGCAGGGGGCACTGGGGGATAGCTGTGAATTCCCTGCATTGTGCAGGGGGTGGACTAGATGACCCTTGGGGGTCCCTTCAAGCTCTTCCGTTTCCGTGGAGAGACTGGGAATGGAACTCTGGACCTTCTACACATGCTCCGCCTACAGCCTCCACACAGTTCACCAAGCTGCAGTCTGCCAACAGGAGACAAGGACAGAAGGCATTTGAAATACAAAGAATGGCATTCAGTGCAAATGATTGACCCTACAGGCTTCCCGGAGGTGAGAGAAAGCACTTCCTTATCGCAAGGCGTGCCCACACTCTCCCCGTGACTCATTCGCCAGCCAGCCTACGGCCTCGCCCTCGAGAGCAGGACTCCCACTTGCTGCAGAGGGGGAAGTCAACAGATTCACAACAGAATGTTTCGTAAGCGACTCTGTCCGCCCGGCCCGTGCATTTTAAGAGCAGGAGGCCACGATATGAATCTGAACATTATCAAAACTACCAGGAGGTCACAAGATCTTTCACTTTAGCAAAAAGGATGAAGAGTCTGGGACTTTTCAGTTTAGAAGAGATTGGATTTATACCCCGCCCTTCACTACCCGAAGGCGTCTCAGAGCGGCTGACAAACTCCTTTCCCTTCTCCTAGCGCTGTCCGAAGACGTTTCCGTGGTCATGTGGCTGGCATGACTAGACGCCGAGGTGCACGGAACACTGTTACCTTCCCACTGAAGTGGTACCTATTCATCTTCTTGCAGTTTCTTGCTTTTGTACTGCTAGGTTGGCAGGAGCTGGGGCCAGGGACGGGAGCTCACTCCGTCACGCGGCACTCGGGTCTTGAACTGCCGAACTAGACTTTCCTGTCTGCAGCTCAGCATCTTAACCTGAGCCACCTAGGTCCTTCATGTGAAGGGCGGGGCATAAATCCAATCTCCTCCTCCTCCTCCTCTCTGCAGCATCGCCCCTGCCTTGGATTCAGATGAACAAGGCCCAGGTGGTAATTGTTCTCCAGGTCAGTTTGACCAGGGACCAGACCAGTGCTCCAAGAGAGCCAGTTTGCCGTCCTGGTTAAGTGCAGGCACTCTCTAATATGGGAGAACCGGGTCTGATTCCCCACTCCTCCACGTGCACCTGGCTGGATGACCTTGGGCAAGCCATAGTTCTGATAAGAGCTGTTCTTGAAAAAGAGCAGTTTCTGTCAAGAGCTCTCTCAGCCCCGCCTACCTCTGTTGTGGGGAGGGGAAGTGAAAGGGGTTTGTAAGCCGCTCTGAGACTCCTTCGGGTAGTGAAGGTCTAGGATGAAGTGAGGTAGAAAGGTGTTACTGTGTATAGATCAGTATGATCTAGTATGCAAGTCTTAGCTGTCATGTTGTTGTTCAGTCGCACAGTCGAGTCTGACTCTTCGCGACCCCATAGACCAGCTCTCGCCAGGCCCTCCTGTCTTCCGCCATCCTCTGAAGTTTGCTCAATTTCATGTTCGTTGCATCTATGACACTGTCTAACCATCTCATCCTTTGCCGTCCCCGTCTTCTTTGACCTTCAATCTTTCCCAGCTGTCATGCTAAGTGGTTAATAATCTTACAGCCAGGTGTTTAACTACCAGGTGCTACTCTTTGTCCTAGTTAAGAGTAGGTAATTAGTCTGCCCTGTTAATGATTGGCTGGGACTTGTATATAAGGTGTAGGCTTGATAAGTTGGGTGGGGGGAACATAGCTCTCTCCAACTGAGGTATGTTATGCTGTGTAACAGTCTGTATATTCTCTGTGTAAATATTCACCATTATTTCACTATAAACTTTCTGCCTTTCACCGCCAGTCGGTCTCCAGGCTTCTTATTTACTGCACCCAATAGAAGGATGGGGTATAAATCCAATCTCTTCTTCTTCATGGCAGAATCGATACCAAGATTTCCCCACTGCAGTGGAACATTCTAACTGCTAAACCACACTGGCTCTCCCTGAGAGGAACCCTTGTTCCTGTAACTGAGCAAAACCAAAACAGCTTCAAAAACAAAACAAAGATGTCCTTAAGTTAAGAGACAACGTCAGCTCAACTGATAAACTAGAGTGCTTGCTTGTTAACTTATCGAATCAAATTCACACAGACTGCTTACAATATTAACGTCAGGTGTGGGGGTGGATGCATGGAGCATTGTGGTTATTTTCTTATTGACTGCATTTAAACCCTGCCTTTCTCTCCAGTGGACACCCAAAGCAGCTTACGTCATTCTCCTCTCCTCCATTTTATCTTCACAAGAACCCCGCAAGGTAGGCTAGGCCGAGAGTGTACGTGTGGCCCAAGGTCACCCAGCATCCTTCCAAGGCAGAGCGGGGATTCGATTCTGGGTCCCCCAGGTCACAGCCTGACACCCTAACCACTACGCCACACTGTCTCTCTTGAAGAAGTCAAAACAAGGAGGTACAAAAATGTCCTTCCGGAACAAACGCTTGAGGGTTGTGTAAATTCTTTATTGTATGCAGTTTAAAAACAAGCAAACAAAACAAAAAAGGCTTCCCTTTTGCACAACAATTGTTTGGGGCCCAGTCTGAACCCAGCGCAACAGGCCGTGGACACAATTCACTCATTGCAACTTCAGGACTGAAACACGAGACCGAAAAAATGAAGATCAGTTACGCTGCACCGGTTGAAGCCAGGCGGACACGGGACAGGGGAAAGTGAGCTGCGGAGCGCGAGAACAGTTGGCTTCGCCACCCCGGCGACAGCAGCACCCCCCTCCCCACTTCTAACCCGTTTCAGGCCCAATTCCTTTCCTGGTGAGATTCCCCATATTTTTTTGAGCAGCTTCCAGCTGCTAGGCCACATCTGGAAGCCTCCCCCCTCCCCTGCATTCTAGTGTATACGATGCAGAGCGCCCTGTCGCTGTTTCTCCCTTATTCAGTGGTGAAGCCGAGGCAACGGTGGACAATCGTTGCATTTTGCCGCCGGTGGATGTCGCGTCTCACAGTTTCCACAGCATGGCCACAGCCTTGCAGATGCCCACGTCGTGGTAGTTGAAGTAGCAGAGGCCGGCAAAGGTGACGGCGGACAGCAGGTAGAGGCCGGCGCTGGCTAGCTTAAAGGACGTCTCTCCGTGGACATAGTCGGTTACAACCTGGCCGAGGCCCCTGCGGTGGGGAAGAGCAGAGAAGAGGCAAGATGAAAATACCAACTACCAATGCTCCCTCTAAGCTGTGGAGTCTTGTGGGCAAAAATACTACTCTGTGAGCTACTGGCATTAAGGTTGTGAGCGGGCCATTTGGCTACTGCATGAATTAGCTCGGTCTGGAGCAGTGTTCCCTCTACGCTGAGTTAGTGTGAGCTAGCTCGCAGTTTTTTAGCCTCCGGCTCACACATCTTTGCCTTAGCTCAGGAAGGAGGGCTCCAGAGCAAGCTAATTAAGGCAGTAGCCAAGGCACTCGCTCACAACTTTAATGCCAGTAGCTCACAAAGTAGAATTTCTGCTCACAAAACTCCACAGGTTAGAGGGAGCATTGGTGAGGGGCCGTCCTTCCTGAGCCAAGACAGAAATGTGTGAGCCGGAGGCTAAAAAACTGTGAGCTGGCGCACACTCACTCAGCTTAGAGGGAACTCTGCCAACTACAGATACCTTTTCCAGGTCAGCCCCTGCCCCTCTTCCTAATCTTTTCAAGGCCAAGCTCTGTAGGAACTTCGGACTGACCCAAATATCAACTTGACTTTTCGTGACTTCCACATTGCTCAAGGAGGTGTTGGCAGTTTACACAGAAGAATCTCTTTTCCCTGCTACAAAGGAAACCCCTTTCGTTTTCTACATCCAGGGCAATTCTTGAGCCTTCTCTCTCCTGGGAAAGCTGCCAAAGACAGTGCAGAGGTCCAATGGGGGAGAAATGTCAGGAAATTTTCCTTTCAAGGGAAGATTTCCTCTCCAGAGGAAGTCACACGCTGCACTGAGAGCGTGTGACTGGCCCAAGGGCACCCAGCGAGCTCCCACGGCACAGCAGAGACTCGAACCTGAGTCTCCCAGATCTCCCCTCCACTTTATCCTCACAACAACACTGTGAGGTAGGCTGCACTGAGAGCGTGTGACTGGCCCAAGGGCACCCAGTGAGCTCCCACGGCACAGCAGAGAGAGATGTAAAATTTCCGGAAATTTTGAAGCTCAGAAAAAACCCCGGTTTTTCCCCAGTTTTTTTCTGGAAAAAAAAGAGGAAATTTTCGGAAAAATTGAAAAAAATGCTACATTACTATTTCTTTTGTCTTTTCTAGACTGAAAGTCATTCTGTTACTTTAGGAACATAAAATATGACTATGGACATTTTTACTTGGCATGAAAGTATCACAACTAGCATATTAAAAATATAGTGTATCCAAACAATTATTACAAACAGAATACCCACCCACATGCAAAAACAAAACTGAAACCTTCTTATTTTCTTCTGACAATAGCACCTCTTAAAGGAAGAAATGAATCTTCCTTTGGGGTGGGGGGAACAGCCCCACCCTTCCTCAGCCTGTGACTATTGGTTTTAAGTTACCTAGAGTTATACATTACCATGAAATCAGGTCAGGAGAACCCCCTCTAGGCTCTGAGACAGGAGTGGGAGGTGCCGGAATGTCGGGAAACTATTCAGTATTATTCGCAGGAGTGAGGAAACTGGGGCGACAAGAAAGGCAGCGGCGGAACAGAGCGCCCTACTCAAATAATCAGTTCTCAAGTGTCCCTTTCTCTACTGAGTCATTCATGAGACCAGCTGGGGAAACCATGGGCTCATTTGTCTTCAAGGGCCAGACTCCTGCCTTTGCTGGGGAAAGTCCCTGGCTTGCTTGGGGAAGAAAGAACACAGCCCTGCAAGCACTGCGCATTTAGAGGGTGATGAAATGAAATGACAACAGGGGAGCCATTAACAGCAAAAGATCGGGAAGTTGCACAACAGCAGCCGGAGGAATTCATGTGCTCGAAGACTTCCTTTCCTTTTATTCCCTTAGAAGCTCGTTGATTCGTAAATCTTGAGCAGTGGGAAAAATTGTTCCTTGTTTTTTTGGATGCAAGGGCCAAAAGGACTGAAACGTTCTGCAATTGCTAAAGTAAAGTAGGTTCCTTGTAATTAAGTAAAAAGGTAATTAAGTAAAGAATCACAGTGGCATCCAGTCAAAGTCAGTACAAAGTCAAAACCTGATTACCAGAACATCCTTCACTGGCCTGAAGTGGATGAGGTCTCACTGGGGCAGCAAGAATGTCGGGCAGTCTGAGTAGACAATACTGATGGACCACCAGTCTGTTTCAGTATAAGGCAGCTTCATGTGTTTTCATGACTTGGGGTAAGGTGGCTTAAGTCGTCATGTAGGAAGGGGTTGTGGCTCAGTGGCAGAGCATCCGCTTGGCATGCAGAAGGTCCCGGGTTCAATCCCTGGCATCTCCAGTTTTAAGGACCAGGTAGTAGGTGGTGGGAAAGACCTCTGCCTGAGGCCCTGGAGAGCCGCTGCCAGTCTGAGTTGACAAGACTGACCTCAATAGACAGACGGTCTGATTCAGTAGAAGGCAGCTTCATGCGTTCCCATGACTTGGTGTAAGGTAGCTTCCATATTCATGTAAGAAGGGATCGTGGCCAATGCTCCCTCTAAGCTGTGCAAAACTTCTACTTTGTGAGCTACTGGCATTAAAGTTGTGAGTGAGCGATTTGGCTGCTGCATAAAATAGTTTGCTCTGGAGCCATCCTTCCTGATTGTAAGACAAAAGTGTGTGAGCCAGAGGCTAAAAAACTGTGAGCTAGCTCACACTGACTCAGCTTAGAGGGAACACTGGTCGTGGCTCAGAAGCAGAGCCTCTGCTTGGTATGTAGAAGGTCCCAGGTTCAATCCCCGGCATCTCCAGTGTTTTGGAGTATAAGGGAACGGTGGGTTAATTAAAGGTTTAACATAATGATCCCTTATATTTTCAAAGAACCTACATTCGAGCAGGGCATGAAAGGATGTATCGATCCTGGGCAAATTCTGTCTGAGTGGGGCCTGTTCGAAAATCTCCCCGGTAAAACCACTCAGTCTTGTCTTGCAAACAAGAAAGCGCTGCGTATTGTGGTCGACTCTAGAAACCGAAGGTGCAACAAAGTACTTCAGGCTGCACATGCAGCTGAGAGCAGATGCGGCGCATGCAAGAAGAGATCCCCCCAAGGAACCCACAATGATTACAAGAAGGCCTGGATCCTCCTGAGGGACTGAACTCTGAAACTAGACCGCTAGCTGTAAGGCCCAAGCCCAAACTTGAAAAATGCCAACTGCACAAGACTGTAGAATAGGGACCTCATCATCGAAAGGCTAGATCAAATCAAGCCTGAACTCTCCCTAGATCAGGGGTGTCAAACATAAGGCCCGGCGGCTGGAACCGGCCCATTCAGAGCTCTTATATGGCCTGTGAGCAACCAGTGCAAGGGAGGGAACAGGAGATTGTTCATGGGGGAGTGGGCAGAGCCACTCCAATTGTGGCTTCACCATGGTGCAACAAACCTCATCTGCAGCAGTCAAGCAGTGCGGGAACGTCTGCCCAGTGCTGCGTTGCTAGGTCTCCAGTCCACCCATATGGGTTTTCCTTTGGACCCCCCCTCCCAGTTCACGGAGCCTTGCAGTGAGGACACACCAACTCGGAGCTTACCAGCTGCTGTCCTTTATACAGTTTATATCTCCGGGACCTGGCATTATGTTTTATGGCACACACGGCCAGTGTTCCCTCTAAGCTGAGTTAGTGTGAGCCAGCTCACAGTTTTTTAGCCTCTGGCTCACACATTTTTCTCTTAGCTCAGGAAGGATGGCTCCAGAGCAAACTAATTTATGCAGCAGTGAAAATAGCACCTCCTAAAGGAAGAAATGCATCTTGTTCTTGCATCGGAGAGTTCAGTTTGTAACCTAGGACTTGCTTGTTCTCAGTGCACAGACATTAGATCAATCTGATACCATGCATATTTTTTTAGAAATGATTTGGAAAATATTTGAACACCTTGTCTTAAAATATTTTATTCATCACGTTAAAATAAAACGTTCTATAATCAATTTCTTTTCTTTTCTTTTTTCAATTTTTCGGGGGGGGGGGGGGGGGCCAAAAAAGGTTTCGGGGGAAACCTGAATTTTTCCGGTTTCCCCCCGGGCCTTCACATCTCTAGCCATAGAGGCCATCTAGTCCAGCCCCCGGCTCCATGCAGGATCGGCCTAAAGCGTCCCTGACAAGCGTTCGTCCAGCCGCTACTTGAAGACTGCCAGGGAAGGGGAGCTGAACTACTCTTACTGTAGATTTGGGCGGGGTCACTGTGTTGGTCTGTAGCAACAGAACAAAGTCTGAGTCCAGGGGCACCTTTAAGACCAGCAAAGTTTTATTCTGAGTATAAGCTTTCGTGTTCGGGCACACTTCTTCAGATACACTTCTTTGTGAGCGTGCACGTGAAAGCTTATGCCCAGAATAAATCTTTGACGGTGTTAAAGGTGCCACTGGACTCAAACTCATCCTACTCTTCCTGCGAAAATCCCGCCCCCAATAACCAGCCAGCATCTCCCTGTAATTTAAACCCATGATTGCGAGTCCTCTCCTCTGCCGTCAACAGGAACAGCTCCCTGCCCTCCTCTAAGGGACAGCCCATCAAACACTTCGACAGCAATCGTGTCCCCCCCCCACCTCCTTTTCTCCAGAGGGAACATTCCCAAGTCCCTCAGCCTTTCCTCGTAGGGCTTGGTCTCCAGGCCCCCTGATCATCCTCGTCCCTCTCCTCCGCACCCACTCCATTCTTTTGAAATCAGGCCTCCAGTACTGCACACACGACTCCAGCCACAGCCTGGCCAATACAGTATACAGCAGGACTATGACACCTTGGAGCTGCGGTGGCTCAAGTGGTTAAGATGCTGAACTGCAGGCTGTGGAAGGTCAGTAGTTCAGCAGTTCGAGACCCGGGCTGCCGCATGACGGAGTGAGCTTCCGTCTCTAGTTCCAGCTCCTGCCAACCTAGCAGTTCGAAAGCAAGAAACTGCAAGTAGATAAATAGGTACCGCTTTGGTGGGAAGGGAACAGCGTTCCGTACGCCTTGGTGTTTAGTCATGCCAGCCACATGACCATGGAAACATCTTTGGACAGCGCTGGCTCTTCGGCTTTGAAACGGAGATGAGCACC